TGCTCAGAGTAGGTCTATATATACAATATATCCACATACATATGTTGTCTCCCTAAAGTGTAAACTGAGGAGGGAAGGTTCTCTGAGGAATCATACAAACAAGAGTTGAAGGTGGTTAAGATAATGTCTTAAAGAATAAACTGGAGTGAGGAAAAATGTAAAAAAAATAAATAAATAAATATGTGTGTGTGTGTGTGTGTGTGTATATATATATATATATATATATATATATATATATATATGCAACATGGGAGCTAGCCCAGCGTTCTGGAGTTCTGGGACTTGTCTGCAAGGGCTGGGGACTGCGATGAGCACAAAGCCCAGAGTTGTGTGATGAGCTGAAGGCTAAGCCCTAGCTATCCTGTGGAGCGTGAAGGTGTAGGACTTGGTCATTGCAGTATGAAAATCGCCAGAGGATAGTTCCTTCTACAGATTGTGAAAAGCCCACAACTTTCTAACTTTTTTCTGTTTTCTCTAGATCCTAAGGTGTCAGGCAGTGGAGGAGGCTGCTGCCATCCTCCCCATTCTGGAACTGCCCACACCCCAATTCTGTGTTGGATTGTTGTTTCTTTTTCCACTGGCCTATTAACTAATTCATCTGAAATCTGACTTTTCCCCCTCATCAGGTTACTGAAATTGCTTCACAAATTCAATACCTTTCCTGGGTAATATCCTCCTACACCCTATGCAACTTACAGGTTCAAATTCTGCCTTCTTGAAACTCACTGTTTCTCCTACTAACTCTACAGCCGTCCCTCTTCTGTCCCCTTAACCAAACTTACCTCCCTCCTCCACTTTCTAAAGGCAGATTCTGCACAATAATCTTACCTGGGCTGACCTGACTGGGCTGACCTGACTCGCCAGGCTGTACCCCCTCAGATCTCTGGTGAGATCCCCTTGTCCACTTGCAGCTCTCCTCTGGACACCTTAGCCTGTTTGTTCCACCAGCGCCTCGGTCCCAGCATTTTCAGGCCAAATTTGTCCTCTCTGACAAATAGTCACCTTTATCATAGCCATGTATCACCTGTGACTCCCCTGGCCTTATTCTCCACCTCCAGCGACTTGCCAGTTCTTCCCCGCTCCCTCTGTACACCCCACACCAGAGCTGTTCACAGCTGTCCCCACTTGCCACTATCCTAGGGCAGGCTCGTCGCTCTCGCTTTGATTTTCCGGAGGCGGCCTTGCTTCCTGTCTGCACTTCTCTGCACCTGAGGCCATCATACATGTCACTGCAAATCATCTTCCTAGGGCCTAGTTTTGTGAGTTTGTTTTTTTTTCTTTTCACATTTTTTTCTCGAGTTTAAAAATCCTGTCCGATTTCCCTATAACCCCAGAATTGAGTCCAGTAATTTTTAAATAACTTGATAATGGATATTGTTAAAAGCATTGATGTAGTTGTCTTTGTAAAAATCAGAATCTTGTTGGACTTAACACTGATTTAACCATGCAGTTAGTATAAATATTTCATATATGTGTGCATATATATGTATGTATATGTATATCATAAAATGAAATCAATTTTAAATGATAAAATTACATCAACTATGTGATTGTAAGTTAGAGTTCTTAAGCCTATAAAGTTTTGCTTGCACACTTAGTATACTCTCTGAGCTTAAATTTTAAAGTTAGCACAAATAATATACCCCAAGTCATCTTTCTTAATTTATTTCTCACAGTTGTCTTCCATGTGCCTTTTACTGTAGCCAAAAGCTGCACAGCCCTGCACTCTTCAAATTCTCTTCCCCACATCTTCTGTGTAATTACTTCCCTCTGACTAAAACATCCACCCATCAATATTCTAGTTCTCATTTCTTCTCACCCCTTCAAGCCCCCCACCTCCAACTGAAATCCCAGCGTGCCCGGGCTAAATTCACCAGAGCATATTTTCCTTTTGTCAGAGCCCTTAACACTGACAACCTTCCTTTGCAGCATTTGATGGATAAATGGGCAGATAAGGTGTAGTTCATACATGCAGTGGAATATCATTCAGCCTTAACAAAGAAGGAAGTTCTGACACACACTACCACATAGATGATTCTTGAAGACATTATGCTAAGTGAAATAAGCCAGTCACAAAAGGAGAAAAACCTGTGATTCCTTCCACTGACATGGGGTGCCTAGCGCAGTCAAATTCATAGGGAATGGAAGTAGGGGGTGGTTGCCAGGGGGTGGGGAGGGAGCAAATGCGGAGTTAGTGTTTTTTGGGTGCAGAGTTTCATTTGAGAAGGTGAAAAGCTTCTGGGAATGGATGGTGGAGATGGTTGCACAGCCATGCGAATGTGCTGTACTATAGGGTTAAAATAGTAAGTTCTATATTATGTATGTTTTACCACAATAAAAAAAAAACAAAAAAAAAAACCTATCTCAGGGGAAGAATGCTTGTTGTGCTTCTTTAGATGAAAGGAATATCCCGCTAATGAAGTTGTGTGTTGATTGGGAATTGGAGCTGTTCCACCTCAGAGTCACTGAAACCTGAGACCTCTTGGCTGGGCTTTGTGTTCTTTGGCACTTTGGCATTAATACAGGATTCAGATTCATAGGAAATTTTTGGTTGGAAAGAAGCATATCATGATGAAAATTTGTGTAAATAAATAATTGATTATGCCAGTGGTTTCTGAATTATGCTGATCGTTTCAATTTCCCTTTTCATCTCTTGATTTCCAAAACTTAATTTAAATCCTTAAATAATCATTCGATGGTCAAAACCGGTTTGGCTCAGTGGATAGAGCATCAGCCTGTGGACTGAAGGGTCCCAAGTTCGATTCCGGTCAAGGGCATGTACCTTGGTTGAGGGCAGATCCCCAGTGGGGGTGTGCAGGAGGCAGCTGATTGATGTTTCTCTCTCATCAATGTTTCTAACTCTCTATCTTTCTCCCTTCCTGTCTGTAAAAAATCAATAAAATATATATTTTTAAAAAATAATCATTCGATGGCTAAACTTTTTAAGAATGTGTATTAATCTCTGATGGCTAAACGAATATGTGCTTATTATAAAATATTCAAACATTATTAAAATGTATATTGTTTAGAAAGTATATGTTTCCCATGATCTCAAGTGATTTGTTGTTTACAATTGGGAGTGTGTGTATGTTATGTGCATATAAATGTCTTAATAATGAAAATATCATTGTACTTTCATGTATCCTGTCAATGGAATTGTTACTTAAAAATATGCTTCTGATATTATCATGTAATCAGATACCCATCTCTTTATATTAAGCTACTGTGCAGTATTCTATTGTGAATCTCCACCTTAATTTAAACTATATTCCAATTAATGGGGCAGATATCATAATTCTGATAATGTATGCTGAGGAGAGCAATGGTATTTAAATGTGTGTGTGTGTGTGTGTGTGTGTGTGTACCGCTGTGTTTCTGAGTATTACATGTGGAATGATGGGATCAAGTTAAAAGCACATTTATAATTTTAATAGGTAGCTGCTAAATTTTAATTCTACCTTGGCTGGCCTTTAACATCCCAAATACTTTGGCAAAGTTGCAATTGACCATATATAACCTGAAAGTTTAGATATTTCAGTTAAAGTACCCAGATAAAGATGTGTAAGCCTGATGTATTGGGTTTTTCCAATCCCCAGAGTCAGCTTGCTTGTTAGAGTAACAAAATACCTTGATGGAAATGCCTATATCTGAGCCAGTGATTTCTCTAAGCCTTAAGATCCCGCCTGCATAACAGGGGAACTAAGAAAGTGTGGGATTATAAATTAGCAGCTGTCCCCCGTCTCTGGGATATCTACCTTCATCACTCCTTTAGATATGTGCTCATCCCATTAAATCTCACTCCTCTTAAAGTCCTCTACCAAATAACAAAACCATTGTCAAAACCTCATAAATCACTTACTGACATTACAACCCCGCCACCCATAACACATCCCAGCTGAAATTTGGTGATTGTTTTGACTCTGATAATTACAATGTTTGTTAGAGTCCAGAAGTGCAATGACTATACTTTCCACTCTTGTTGTGTCTTGTTAGGTTTATTCCTTCATGGAAAATTATAGACAGGCTTTAATTTTTCCGTATCATCGTAGGCCTTGTGGCCTATAAATGTTATTTTATAATTTAGCAAAGGACCACAAAGGAAAAAGCAAAGAACCTAACTAGCTGTTGTTGGATTTGTATTTTCAAAACAAAGTCTATGGGAATAAAAATCGCTTCTTCTTCACCAAAAATTCCCACGGTGCAAGATGTTATTAATTCATGAAAATTGAAGACATGATTTCTTTGCAGAGAAAGGGCAGTGACATTTATTCACTTGTTCATTCATTTTTGTGACACTTATTGAGATTTTACAGAGTGCCAAGCATCCGTATGATAATGTACATTATAGTCTACCCCCTTCACCTCCAACTTTGATATTGCATGTCTTCTATAAATATGGAAAACCTACCAAATATAAATTCTTTGTGTTTGAAGGAACATTTAAGAATATTTAAAGATGCCAAAACCGGTTTGGCTCAGTGGATAGAGCGTAGGCCTGTGGACTGAAAGGTCCCGGGTTCAATTCCGGTGAAGGGCATGTACCTTGGTTGAGAGCACATCCCCAGTAGGGGGTGTGCAGGAGGCAGCTGATTGATGTTTCTCTCTCATTGATGTTCCTAACTCTCTATCCCTCTCTCTTCCTCTCTGTAAAAAATCAATAAAATATATTTTTTAAAAAAGAATATTTAAAGACTAAATCATTCTACCTCATAGAGAAATGAAAACTTGTTTTTGGAGTATATGTACACATACACATTTTTTCCTCTTTGATTAAAAATCATTTAACACATCTGTGCCCAGGATGAAGGATAATGAAATTCAACCACAAAAATGATTAAATAATATATAATTGTAGTGTTGGAATTTATCAGTTTAGAGTGGTTGCCTCCATATTCACTTTTCGTTTGATCTTCTTGTAGACCTTATTGTTATTGACTTCAAATGTCTCCGTATTTTTGCTCAGTGGAATGTGCCTTGACAGAGTAATTATATGTTATCAGGCAATTGAAGATCAACTAAAGATATGTGGCCACAAGAGGGATGCTGATGTCCTTGAGCTGTTCCTTTCTAAAAAGTAAGTGTACTTTAAGTAAGAAATAGAAAAGCATCCATGATAATGTTTCACAGATTCAAATGTTCTTTTCCAGTCCTCCCTCACGCCCTTCACCCCCATGCCAAAGACTGGATGGGAAAATACCACACTCTAATTACTTTACCACTTATTGGATTAACAGTCTCTATTGGAGAGGCAGCACATCGGGAATGGCTAAGAACAAGATTATGGAGCCAAACTAAGTTTAAACCCCAGTTCTGCCTCTCCCATCTGGGTGATCTTTGTTAGGTTTAGCAAATAAAACTATGGGATAAACAATTATATATGAACTAGAGGCCCAGTGTGCGAATTCATGCTTGGATAGGGTCTGGGGAGGGGGTGATCTGAGACACAATCGGCCCTCTGAGCAAGTGGTGGGACACCCTTGCCGGCCCGAGATCCATCCCGCTGACATTTCCTGACATTCTTGCTGGTTGTCAGGAGCCAACTGGCGGCCTCCTTTATGTTATTTCTTCCTTGCAGAGCATCTAGGGAGGAAAGCAGCCACGGTGCCCAAGGCCTAACCCTAACCCTAATCCTAACCCTAACCCTAACCCTAACCTTAACCCTAACCCTAACCCTAACCCTAACCCTAACCCTAACCCTAACCCTATTTCTGTCCCCTTACCAAATCTACTGATTCAGGCAAAAGTTACCCAGAGAAGCTAAACCCTTTGAATAAATAGTTATTAAGTAATGAGGTATATGCATAGTCTCTGAGTTTTGCCCCACATATTACTGTTCAATGATAAAGTGAGTACTTTTTATAGTGGAGAGACCTGGCAGATACAAGCTTAGCCCAGTGACTGACCTTTTAGCTTCACCAACAGTAGGACAAGCAGCAGCATTTGTCTCCAGTGTGATGCAGTAATTATCACCTTCGTTACTGAAAAATAGTCTAACTTAGATTTAATCATGAGGAAGTAATTAGGCAAATCAATAATGTGAGACATTCTATCATACAGCTGTCCTGGACTCTTCAAAAAGTCAATGTTAAGGGGGGAAAAGGAAAGCGACTGTCCTAAATTTAAGACTAAGGATTATACTAACTGAAAAAACATGAGTGTTGATAGAATTATGGATTTAAACAAACTATAAAATATAGGCAGCAACAGAGACAGTTGGAATATGAACAGTATATTAGATGATATTAATGAATTCAATTTCATCTTCTTAGGCGTGATAATGGTATTGTAGTTATACAGGAGAACGCCCTTATTTAAGGGATGTGCATGAAGAATTTAGGAGTGAGAGCCCTGCAATAATAAGTATGCGATTTATTTTCAAGTGATTCCCCCAGAAAATAACCAACCAATAAGTAGATATATTATATAGGTAAGTGAGAATGATTGGCAAAACATTAAAAACTATACGTGCAATGTAAGCATTCATTATGTTATATTCCTTCATCTTTTCTTAGATTTGAAAGTTTTCAATATAAAAATTTGATGAGTGGGACTTCTCTTGTTTAGAAATGTTTCATGATTTAAGAAATGTATTTGCTTAAAAAATTAGGAAAATAATTATTCCCTCAGTGTCGCAAGGTTAAAGAAATATAAATGTGAAAGTGTGTTGCCACATGAGTTAATGTAGGTAATATTATTTAACATAAATGTCTTTAAATTGCTTAGAAAAGTGCCTGGCACACAGGGTATGCTCTATACATGTGTGATAAATAGAGACATGTGTGTATGCATACATACTCAGCATGGGTCCACAATTTCTGCCCTGAGAATTAGAAGACATCCGAATACCCCAGCCCACAGCAGTCACTCAGAAACTTTGCCCTCTTTGCTGATAGCTCCACACCCACACCCATGTCTGTCCCTTAGCTGAGTGAGCTGCACAGCAACAAGGCCTAGTTCAAGAAGGATGGGCAATATTTTGACCTCATCCTACATAATAAAGAGATGATGTGCTAATTAGGCTGAACAGCCGAACAGCCTTCCATGTGTCCTTCCGGACAACCTTCCAGACAAAGCTGGGGCTGAGAGGGCCAGCCCAGGCAGCTGGGGCTGCGAGTGCCAGGCCCCTTGCATGCATTTCGTGCATCGGGCCTCTAGGATTCAATAAACAACAAAGGGAGAATGAACACTTTACTCTGTCTCAGTCTCTTGGTGCACTGCAGCCTCCATATCTCAAACACGGTCTGGCCAAGATCTGGACAAACCGAAAGCAAGGAGCCTGCAGACACTGTTGAAGCAGGAGCTAATGGCATTTCCCACGTTTACTTGTGAGTCAGTGTCTGCTGCCCTTCTATCCCTTTCCCATCTCTCCAGTAAAATTTTTTTTTAATTGAGATTTCAATAAATTAAATCATAATGAGGTATACATTTCTAAAATGTGATAAAATGCTTCTCTGTAAGTATTTGTTTTAACTAACAAAATCTTTTTTTTAAGTTCCATTGTAATTTTTTTAAAATATATTTTATTGATTTTTTACAGAGAGGAAGGGAGAGAGATAGAGAGATAGAAACGTCAAGGAGAGAGAAACATCGACCAGCTGCCTCCTGCACAACCCCCACCGGGGATGTGCCCACAACCAACATACATGCCCCTGTCCGGAATCGAACCCGGGACCTTTCAGTCCGCAGACCGACGCTCTACCACTGAGCCAAACCGGTTTCAGCTGACTAACAAAATCTTAATCCAAATGAACGAAGTATTAAAAATGGAAGTTTGGAAATGAACGTGTATCAATAATTTTGAAAGGACAAAGACATTTATTCAGTTACTCCAAAGTCATACTATATATCCTGCCTCACCTACAACTGAACTAATCATTGCTAATATTTCCTTTTTTTTTTCTTTTTCAGGGAGCTGACAGATGTTATTGATCTTTCTAGGTTTAGAAAATTAAAATACTTATGGCTACATCATAACAAGGTAACATTATATTTTCTCTTTAAAGGTCTCTGTAATTAAGTTACTATCACGTTTTCATAGAGTTAATCTTTAAAAGCATTAATTTTCTGTACCTAACTTAAATGTAGGTGAGACAGTTTACAAGCATGTAGACATGCATCATGAACAGCACAGTTTGCGAGATATTTTTACACCACAACTGCTGTGTCTCCATGTCCTGTCAAAGCTGCTCGGAAGAGGCTCTTCCTTCCAGTCCCACGGCTTTTCTCACCTCTGCTACGTCATCAGAAATCTTACAGCTCATTTGAATTATAGTCACAGTTTGGAAATAAGAATGTCTAGGAGAATAGGTTAATCAACTTTTGATCTTCACTCATAAATGAGATAGCCCCTTACCTTCCCTCCCATAGCCAGCTAAGCCTGATGGCAGAGTGCCACCTGCCTTCTTTATCAGCTAAGGAGGTGTGGTGGGTTTTCTTTCCTTCTCACCTTCACCCTAATCTTCTCTAGGTTTGGTATGGAATCTCTAGGAATGGGGAGATGTGGAGGTAGAGGAAAGGCGAGGGAGAAAGTTATTTGATTTGCACCCTTTGGTACTAAAAAAAAAAAAAAAAAAAAAAAAAAAAAAAAAAAAAAAAAAAAAAAAAAAAAAAGCTTTTTCTCTTGATGGGTTATTCAGGAGCTTCCCTACTAGGTTACTCCAACTGTAATTCCTCTCTGCTGGCCACTTCTGACCGCCGCTCGCCTCTATCCCAGTGGCACTTACAACTGACTGTCTCCTGGCCTTCACAAAGCAGCCTCTTGGTCAGAGTCTCTTGTAAAGTGCCCCAGATCAATATTCCTACCACGGTCTCCCATGCAGTCCTCAGTGCTCACACACCTTTGTCCTGTCAGAGGCGAAGGGGTGGGTCCCCTCCCGGTTGCTACCCATGCTGATCTAGCCTCCTCATTAAGTGCTAAGCATTAAGCTACTGTGTCCCCAACTGCAGGGACACCCTTCAAGGTCGCTGAGTGTGGCCCCTCTATCTTCTCTTAGAGTGGGAGCCTGGGGACCTCTAAGCCATCTCCAAGCCAAAAAGCAAGACTGAACCTAAATGCAGACCCAATCATTACAGTTAGCTGGTCAGTAAGTTGTTTATTCTCAACTTTCAAAAATGTGAGTTCCCAGCAGTTTTTATTTTACTCATTGTAAACCCATTATACCATCTTAGCATTTTGAATTTAGACTTTCAAATGCCAGCTGAATAAAACGAAGGTTTCTTAAGTTTTCAGCAATAGTGTGGTTGTCAAGCAGGAGTTCAGACTCACAGCATTGAATCCTGAGGCAGCCATGTTTATGAAAATACTTCAATATCACATTGCATTTCCAGTCTTTTTCAAAATCAACTAAATAGGAAATGAAAGAGCTTCTAGTATTAAGTGTAAGCACAAGTCTCATAAGCTTGAAATGATTTCTAGAAGAACAAACACAAATAGCTTTGAGAATCAGCCAGCTAACGACTGAAATGGAAAGTACTTGCACTTATGGACATACAAGTTCAAAAGGCTTTATAGCACTCTGCCAAAAATTATCCTGGGTCACAGTGGGCGACCTCTGATGAGAAAAAGATGGAAATCACAAGGCATGGCAAAAGTGACTAATCTTTGTTTCTCATGTGTGCTCCTTGTGGTGTTCAGTTTTAAAGGAAAGAACATGTACAGATGTTGGCAATAGGTCTAAAGAGAGAGGTGATTAGGGATTTTGTAATATTTTGTGTGTGTGTGTGTGTTCTGGTAGTGGACACCATCCCACTTCCAACCAATCATTGAATGTTCAGACAGTTGACTGGCACATATGTATGTACATAGGAAGGGACTGTGTATACTGTCAACTAATTTACTTTCTTTTGTTTTTGAAGGGGCATTGGCAGGGAAGGGATGTGACAATAGGCAATATTCATTTCTTGTACTTGATTCTTTATGTTCAACAAACTAGATATTTTATTTCCAAAATTACCATCAGTTAACTTTGTTTTTAGACCCATGAACCAGAAGGTCACAGGTTCTACTCCCAGTCAGGGGACATACCTAGGTTGCAGGCTCGATCCCCAGCAGGGGGAGTGCAGGAGGCAATTGATGGATGTTTCTCATGTTTCTCTCTTATTGATGTTTCTACCTATCTCTCCCTCTCCCTTCCTCTCTCTCTAAAATCAATTGAAAATATTTTTTAAAAAAATACTTATTTAGTCCACATAACACTTTGAAAGGAGAGAATACCCAAAATAAGTTTTAAGTGGTTGTGAGTAAGTGAATAAGCTGTTGTGAGTCTTCCTATTGATCAATAGCTTACTGGTTGCTAAGTTACCACACTTTATGAAAAATTAAAATTTTCTTCAAGGTCCAAAACTCTAATGGGCATATTTAGCTATGATAGTACTTCCTCAGAGGGCCTTTGTTTCCTCTGGATATCTTCTTGCCTGGATATGATCCAGGAATCATCCTGCTAACTTGAAAATGAATCCAACATTGAGAGAAAAGCAAAGCCCAGGGAATCACTGAGAGACTAAGACTGAGGCTCTCACAAGCTCTAGACTTCTTGGTGTGTAACATAAATATATGTTCTAATTTACATATCTTTATGAGTTGCGTTTAGGAGTTATTTGGAGCCAGGAGCCAGATTTGGTACAGCTTATTCTGTACTTTGCATTTAGGCCATTGATAGAATCCTATATAATAAAAGCTCAATGACCATAACAGCCGAACAACCAGAATGACTGCTCAACCAATCACTATGAGGTGCACTGACCACCTCTTAGTCCCTCCCCCTCTACTCTCTCCCCACCCCGCCAGCAGGCTCCGATTTCTGGTTGGCAAATGGGAAACCAGAATGAGTGGTGGGGGATGCGGGATGTGCCAAGCCAAGGCCCCCACCCCACGGGTCGCCCCTCACACAGGGGCTGACCTGCGGCAGGAGTTGGGACACAAGCGGGGGGGACCAGCTGACCCCTCGGTCCCTCCTCCAGGCTGTCAGGCTCCCATCGCCCAATGGCAAATTGGGAACCCAGGTGGGTGGCAGCAGGAGGCAAGCCTGTCCGCTGACATATGGGGAATCTGACCCTGATCAAAGGCCAGATTCCCCATCTGTGGTGCCTAGGGACAGTAGCATGCATAACTTCATGCACCGGTCCTCTAGTATAACAATAAATGTGAGGGTACCTGCTCTAGTGATAAAAACAGCAAGTGCAAAGGGAGTGGCTGGTGAGGACATTGCATTTGCAAACTGCGCAGAGCAGAATGAGAGAAAGGAGTTGTCTTGGGATGCAATGACTGTAGCCTGCTGTGTTTGGAGCCCCGCATACTAGAAGGGTGAATACTTCTCCCCTAATATCTAGTGGATGATAAACACTTCTTGTCTGACCCTGAACTAGCAAACTAAATAGGTACATGTTGTTTCTAAGGACCTCCAACGCCCCAGCTTTCCTAGGTTTGCTCAGGTGACTCTGGTTCCTTCATTATGCTCCCCGAGGGCTGGTTTTCCCCTCACACCACATAGGTGTTCACTAGTTCTGCTCCTCCTCCCTTTCTGGGTCACATTTTTCTAACCTCGCCTGGTTGGATGAGTGGGAGACAACTGCATTCGGGCCTTCTCAAGATTCCCTTTCATGGCCCATCTTCTAGTGGGCCTGAGTGAGGCAATTTTCGGTCCAATTTTTATCCCTTCCAACTTTTCATAAGAAGTTGAGTCTGCTCAGACAATTGATCTGAGTGATTTATTTGTCTTTTATACTGCAATTAAGTTGTGTTCTGGTTCATTACCTCAAAAATTTTTTTCAGCTATTTAATAATAAGCCTGTAATATTGCTAGCACAATGCTAATATTTTTCTATTTCTGGAAGAACCAGCAGTACTCTGGTAGTTTCATTTGGCTCAGATTAGAATAAGCTTTTGATTAAAAAAGCAAACAAACAAACAAATAAAAAAACCTGCATGATGCCTTACCATGCAACTGTTCAAAATGGAATCTGAGTTTCTTCCCTGTAGCAAAAACCAGTTGACAAAGTTTACAAACTAAATTTAAATGAAAATGCAAAGTCTTCTAGCAAAGTCGTTGTTCATAAACTTCATTATCTGAAAAATAATTGAAATACTTATTTATAATAACATTTTTCATACAAGCTGACTAGAGAATGACTAGATTGAAGTAAACAAAATTGCCCTGAGAAAGATCCTGAGCTTATGATAATGCCATTTTTCATCTCCCAGACATCTAGTACATATTGGAAATTTGCCAGTGAGAAGATATTTATGTGTTTTAGGAAGGATTATTTGTGTTCAAGTCTAGTAAACCACAATTTTAAAATTGAAATACTTATTTTTAATGTGCTGTTTTAAATATTCTCAAAGAATTATTTCAATAGCAGTGCTCATTTTCAGATAACTTTCTGAGCTTTGTCTCATGAATTTTAATTGGTTCCTTTAATCAGGTTTGGGTATGCATATTTTAATTATTTATTTGTATATACTCTACCTTGTTAAAAAAAAAATTAGAGCAGCACAAATCCCATGGTAGAGTGTAAGACCTGTAAAAGAATAAAAAAAAAAAAAACTAGCGTGCATTCCATATAATTTGGGTTCTCGTGTGTTTCTGTTACCCGAGGCAACATTAATTATATCCCTCATGTCAACTTTGTTAAAAGAATCATATTTTGCCAAATACTTAAAATCTCCTAAAAAAAAAAAAAAAAAAAAAAAAAAAAAAAAAAAAAAAAAAAAAAAGTAAGTCAAGGTAAATGACCTAAATAAGATCTCAATGGATGGTTGTGAAATTCATAGATATGTGCACTATATATTTGGTTATTCTTAAAAATGATTTATCTCAAAAAATGATTTATCTCAGGAATGTAACCTATTTTTGGAAAAGAGCTTATACAAAAATTTTTATAACATGGAATAAATAGGAAAAAACATGAGAATGAAAGTCTGTTTATACTGGATTGAATAGTTGTAATATTTTTAAAGTATGTTTTTAAAGTATAGATTGTATTTTTAAGTATTGTATATACTTTAAACCAAGCTACACATGAACTTTTTTTTATTTTTTATTTTTTTATTAATATTTTATTGATTTTTTACAGAGAGGAAGGAAGAGGGATAGAAAGTTAGAAACATCGATAAGAGAGAATCATCAATCAGCTGCCTCCTGCACACCTCCTACTGGGGATGTGCCCGCAACCAAGGTACATGCCCTTGACCGGAATCGAACCTAGGACCTTTCAGTCCTCAGACCGATGCTCTACCACTGAGCCAAACCGCTTTCGGCTGAACTTTTTTTTTTAATTAACTGGGTAGGAAAACCAAGAAAATAATTTTAGGAATCTTGGAAATGTATTACAATTTTTCTTTTTTTTCTTTTTTTTCCTCCTATTTAATTGTGTAAAGTGTTTAAATTCTCCCCAACTAATACTTAGTTTTATGTAAATTTAGGAAATAATGTAATTTCATTATTTAAATATATAGTAATAGACCCTTTTGAATACCACATGATTATAGAATTTTTCAGAATTTTATCATATTGTTTAATCACTGATCTATAGTTCTTTGCTCCTAGGTGTTAACCTTGGTACCACTGACTTTTTGAACTGGCTGATTCTTGATTGTGGGGGCTGTTCTGTGTATTTTTTAATATTTAGTAGCGTCACTGGCCTCTACCTGCTATATCCTAGAAGACTTTCCCCGAGAAGTGACAACTTAAAATATTTCTAGACATTGACAAATACCCGTTGGGGAAAGATTGTCCTCTCCTGAGAATCAGCCAATTCAGTAGACATAGTGATCTATAGAACCTAAGTCAAAACATGTTATTCCTCTGCTCCAAACCTCCATTGATTTCCTGTTAATTTCAGCCAACTGCTTACACTAACCCGCAAGGCCCCACACAAGTAGACCCTGATGACATCTGACCTCATTCCTCACTTCACTTCCTGGCTCACTCTGATCCAGCCACACCAGGCACTGTACTGTCCCTGGCCTGGACACTGGCTAGACCTCTGGTGCTCCTCTTACATGCCCCTCATCAAGAGTTTGTTCAAGACCGGCTAGTGTGGCTTAGTGGTTGAGCACTAAGGTCACGGTTCAATTCCTAGTCAGGGCATATGCCTAATAGCAGACTCCATCCCAGCAGGAGGCAGTCAATCAATGATTCTCTCTCATTGATGTTTCTATCCCTCTCTCTCTCTCCCCCTCTATCTCTGAGATCAATGAAAACATATTATAAAAAAGAGTTTGTTCAAATATTACCTCCTCTTTGAGGTAATATTTAAAATATAGCACTACCTTAATACTAGCACTCCAACTATCTATACTTTCCAGATCCAATGAGTCTGTATGGGGCAGAATGTGTGTGAAATGTTTTTAGAGCAAAATGTCTAGGTAGGCCTTTTTACAGAAGCTTTGGAAACCATGCAAGGGAGTTTGGTTGAGATATGGTAAGAGGAGTTTATGTCAAGTTCTCTAAAAACATCCTTTTTACCATACCATCTTCAAAGACAATTCAGATGTAAATTAATAGCCCAGACCAAAGGTCACAAATAACTAAAAATAACAGCAAACATCTAATTTCTATTATCCATATAGATAAAAGCCTGATAGGCAAAGTGTCCATTTGGGAGTTCATTCTCTCACTATGACATATGCTGACCACCAGGGGGCGGCATAGAATGAAGGAAGGCCCCTGTCAGCAGCCAAAAGGCCCTGATGGGCCCTGATCACTAGTCAGGCACCAGGCCTTTAGTCTTACTATAATTTTATATGTATATGTAATTATTGTAGAAAGTAAATTGTTCTCTAACTCTCATTTTCAGCTCCATGAAATAACATTTCTAACTAGAAACTATTGTCTGACAGAATTGTATCTAAACAACAATGCAATTATTGACATTGAAGGTATGTCTAAATTTTCTCATCGAATGAGTTTCAATTAAGTAATAACTTTTAACTTTGCCATTGCTAATGGCATGCAAAAATCTGTTTTAACATTCCTGTTGAAAATATATGATGGAATCTATTATTTTTTAACATTATGTACATTTCATTTTAAGAAATGTTCTTTTAATTATAGTTTTAATGAAATCTTGTCTGTGTCTTGATATTCAAAAGGTAAATTAATATTTTTGACAGAAAAATTTGCCATTCTATTGTACAGTTGGACAAACTAGATACCATGGAAACACATTTTAACAATATTTGGGAGCATTTATAAATATAACAACTTTATAAATAGTCTTAATGTTTTTATTGGCTATAATTTTTACCAGTCAAATTCTTTCATTATGAATTAATTGTGTATGTGTAACAATCTCTAAACTGACAATTTCAAACCAGGTATAAAAGTACATGATGTACTATGTTCATGAAATATGAAGAGGTACAACACAAAACATTTTTATTTAATATTATATATAATAGAATCAAAATGTCAAATTTTAATATCCCATGTCCCATGAAGAAAGAAAAGTCTGCCAATTAAGGTATGATGTGGCTATCCCAAAGATACAACCCACTTTTACTTATGTTAAAAATGTGGGAAATTTTTAAATTTAGAATCAAATTATATGAGTATTTGGTTTTGTGTGATGTAAAGAAAATATTTTGGGCAGTTATGCAAAATTTCTATTTTTATTGTTGGCTCTATGATAGGTGTTCCCATTCCCACCATGTTCCTCTTACATCCAGCCCCAACCTACCCCCCCTTCCCTTTGACCATCACCACAAGGTTGTCTGTCTCCATGGGTTATGCATATATGTTCTTTGGCTAATACTTTCTTCTTTGGGGAGAGATATTCAATTGAATGAGTATTCCCTTGATTGGCATTATAAATCTAAGAAACATTGGAGAAACAGAACAAAACAAAAAAGAAAATAACCCTTCTAAAATAAAACAAAAAAAATCATTACTATAGGGGGGAAAAAAAGCTATAAAGCAATAACACTGAAAAGAAATGGATTCTACATTCCCACATTATACTCAATTAATTGAATTCTTATGCTTTGTTCTTTTCTTAATGGTAATTCACAATATTATTGATAATAATTCTTTCTTTTACCAACTGTAATGTATTCTTTTATTGTGTTTAATTGGCATTAAAAGTATTTAAAATCTTGTAAAAAAATTTTTTTAGGCCTGCACTATTTGCCTTCATTGCATATACTGATGCTGCACCACAATGAGTTAACAAACATCGATGCAACAGTGAAGGAATTAAAGGGAATGCTAAATCTGAAGATCCTAAGTATGAATTTGCACTTTTATATTACTATAAGTTAAAATAGTAAAACACAGAACATTTTTAAATTTTCTCATTTAAATTAGATCAATAACTAAATTACTTAGGTATTCCTGAAAACAAGACTAGATCTCTTCCTTTTAAAAATATGTTTTGGAAAGAACAATAGGTGGGGGGGGGGGGGGAATTTGTGGAATTATATGGCATGCCAAATGAAAGTGACAAAAGATGATTTACACATTTAAATCAGTGGTTTGGGTTTTAGCTCAGAAGTAAGTTTTAGCACATATTATATGATCCAATTCATATGACATGCCCGTCTATCAAGAAAGCAGGGAACTATTTTAAAATAGATCAGTGTTTTCCCAGGGCTGGGGTGGGAGGGGGGGAGGGAAGAGATGAGGGACAGGGGAGTGACATCTAAAGAACTAGGGGTGTGGAGTTTCGTTTTGGGATGATGATCATGTTCTAAAGTTGACTGTGGCAATGGTTACCCAGCTCTGTGAGTATACCAAAAAACATGAATTATGTGTACTTTCAGTGGATGAATTATATTCATAAAGCTGACACCTCCCCCAAAGTAAATTTTTATTTAAGCTTTAACTGGGTGAACAGCAAACTTCATTCGTGAAGACTGAATTACACCCCGCAAGAAGCTGGACTCACGATGGGAAGGAAGCATAAGTATGAAATAGGTTGGAAAAATAAATAATGCCTGGTTCCTACTCTCAATAAGCTTATAGTATTGGAGGATAAATAAACCAATACACAATCACAGTACAGGCCAAATGGTTCTAGAAGTGCTAAGGGAAAAGATGCTCAGAACAATGAATGAGTTTTCAAACTTTAGAGTTTGGAAACTTTTTAAAATAATGCCATGAAATGAATGTTGTTTTTCTCCTATTATTTTGTATTCATGTCTCAAAATTGTTTGAGATAGTATTTTGAATATGTATCAACTGACATTGAGGGTGCAGGTTCTAATCAGATCAATACATTAATAGTGATTAAAGTTTTCATGTATTTTCAGTGGTAATCAATTACATGTACTGTATTTAGGAGAAATGATTCATGTGCTTATAAGTGAATTCTTTGCCCTCAACTGTTAATATTAAACCAAGTTCATGGCAATTTCATGCTTTTGTGATGTGAGAAGGCCTGTGAAAGACTCAGAATTTGCTTGCATGTTTGAATTATCCTGCCCTTCTGTGCTGAACAAATGTTTTTGTATTTAAAAGACTGGTTATGCTAGACCCGGAATTCTCACTTATCCTTACTTTTCTGTAAAATGGGCTAATAGCTACTTATCAGGATTTCTTCAACTATTCAGCTATTTCTGTAAAAGCTATTTTTAAAAAAGCATTTTTTGACAATAATGTTATTTTGAAGTGGCAACAAAAATAAAAATTGCTTTATTGTGGATTTGTTAATTAGATAATGAGTTAAGATGCCCAATCTAGAAATTCTGCTGGATACTAATTAAATTTAAAATATAACTGACATTTTAAATAATAATCATTATAACGTATTGAATGTCTTTCCTGTTGAGAAAATGCTTTCTTAGAATATTCTGATTCAAATCTTCACAGAAATCCTTAGTAGTTTGTTTAAAGCTCTGAGCCTTCCTTGTATTTTCACCACTTGAGTAGCTTTACAACAAACTACTAAGACATGTACAATTATGCCTCATTTTTTTTCCTGTTACTATTATTTATGTATTCATTCATTCAATAAATATTTATCACTTATTCATTTGTTAAGTGATAATTCAACAAATATTTACCAGGTGTCGCAATGTGGCACTCTGCTAGATGGGGACACAAAAGTGACCAGGAAATACCTTGTCTGGACCTTTATGTTACTTGCAGTTTTATAACTCTCAGGCAAAGTATTTCATGGAGTTGAAAGGGCTTGATTCAAAACTAATTGGACAACTTGCTCAAGGTAAGAACTCAGTTTAAGTAAACTTATTTTACAATACAAAATTTGGAGGTTAGCAATCAAGGTTTCCCTGGTCATAGTCAACAGGATGATGTGCCGGCCCCAGGAACGAGGGAGCCTCCACCGGCCCAGCCCTCTTGTCTGTGGAGTGTGTATTTGAACACTGAACTGTGTCAGCCCTGAGTGTGGTGAAGGCGAGGCTTTTTCTCAACCTGGCAATATATAATGTCCGTATCATGACCTGTCACAACAGTTGAAGAGGCCTCTGCTCAAAATCATAGTGATGGAATTCAAGTTCTAGAACTATAATCATTCCAACTGAGAATCTTGTAGTGGAATCATATTTTAAAGTGGAGAAAATGACTGCTAATTATATTTGTGCAGTAATGTCCTCAGATTAAGTTTCTATGAACTTCATTTGCGATCACTGATTAGATTCAGCTCATTAACTATGAGAAGTTCATGTATTTTGAAATGTTTAAAACTTTTGTCTTTTCAAGTTGTAAAACCATGTAAAATGCTCAAGTGTCTTTATTATTCCACTTCAAGTGCAAGTTCTTCAGAGGGTGAGAAGATTGCCTGGAGGTAAACCTCTAATCCATTTCAGCATGCACCCTCTACTGGCATTTCTGAGGAGAATTGCCAAGAGATGGCCCAGGAGACTGAGCCTGGGAGCTTCAGGGAGGCCTGAAACCAGCAGCAGGGTGTGAGGTCCTGGAAGCTGGATTCCTGACTTCCTAGCTAAGTCAGGAGGGCCCCACCTCATCTCTCCAGGCGGTCTACCTCCCCCTACCCCCACCCCCACCCCCACCCAGCCCTCCTTCCCCAGCTCCATTTTCCTCTTCCCTTCCCACCTCCACGCTCCTTCTACAGCTGGCTCTGCCTGTGTGAATGACACACTTCCTGGCTGATGACACTCACTGACTTTCAGGCCCCTGCCTTTCTCCCAGCCCAGACAGAACAAAACACCAACAGCAACAAAGTCCTCACACTTTTGTGCTCTTAAACTTTTAGTCTCCGCATTTCTCTCCAATTTTCTGTGTTTCATTAGCTTCACTACTGGAGAGGACACTTAGAAGCCGACATTGCATAATGTTTTAAGACTTGCTTCTTAGCAAGCTCTAAGGACTCACCATTGAAAACAGAGAGTGCCCTTTTCAACAGAGGGTCTTCATTTTCTACAGGCTCTGTTCTTCAACGCTTTCTACCTCCCCTCATTGGGCCCCCGTCCACTGTTGATGGCAAACAGCCAGGGCATGAGGAGGGGTACTCCGCGGTCACGGTGGGACTGCGATCTCAGAGGTCTCTTCATTTAGACCTCTTTTCCTGAAATGTCCTTCAAGGGTAGGGACACCCCTCCAAAAGCAAAATAGGACAGTCCCCCAACAGTAAGAGCCAGCTGGGTTTTCCACTGCTGTATGACCCCTCCACTCTGTTCAGATCCTGCTTTAGCGGTGTTCAGTGGCCACAGAGTTTAGTTAAAATAAGATGGCGATAATCTTGGAGCTGATGACCTTACTAAGTAATCTTGAGCCAGAACCTTAAAATCCTGGTGTCTGGTCACTGGTATCTGAACTTCCTCCATGGCTGTTCTGTACAGGCACATGATACAACTGCTTTAAGCTTCTCTCCATCATTCTCCAAAACGGGTATGTTGGTACGTTGTTAATTACACCAACTTCCTTCAGAGGTGGTCTTAAAAACATGTGGGTTCATTTAAATTATGATTTTAAATTTTGCTTTCAAAGTTTAAGCACTTGAACTGAAGCCAATTAATTAGACAACTATTTTTTTCTCTTCTGTTTCAATAATAAGTAGATTCACACATGTGACTCAAGTATCTCAAGTGTGTGCAGTAAGGTAGTAAGAGACATTTTGATATATTGTGTGAATGTAAATTGCTTAGGCTCAGAATCCCAAATTAAGATAAGCAAGACAGTGCTGGCGCCACTGAGGTGTACTCTATAAGTAGCCTAGAGGGAAGGCGGATTAACTAGTATTAACCTATTGAAAGTGAAAGTGTAAGCAATTTTGCTTCATACTTTCTAAAAGAATGTACCCCATACATCACGGAAGTCTTTCAGAACTTTCAGACACAGGAAACCAGTTTCATATCTTAGAAACTTAATCTATGGTAATTTTAGTAACATCAATCCAAAACTCATAAATCCAAAATGTGAAATGCTTAAAAGTATAGAAGGAAAGGGGGGGGGAAAAAAAAAGACAGTTAAAAATAAGATTGCTTCCTTCAAAAATTGAAGAGCTAGGGGAAAAGTGAAGAATAAAGATGAATTGCCTTTCAAATTATTTAATTTTATTTATTTTTTAAAGTTAATTCAAGCAGAGCTTGGGCTTAGTAGCAGAGTTTTCAGACTTACTGTCACTTAGCTTTTATTTTATGATGAAATGAATGTTGAACCATAATAAGCACATCGAATTTTTAGTATTGAGACATTTTCTTAAATTAATATAATAGCAGTAAATCCAATCTGAAGCCTGAAGTGTTTTTTTTTTTTTGTTTTTTTCATGTTTATATAAAGATGTTACTTAACTAAGCACTAGGAGACAAAATCAAGCAAAGAAATGAAATGGTAGTCAAGCCATTTTGGCTCAGTGGTTGGGGAACATGTCCAGGTTGCCACCTGGATCCCCAGTAGGGTGCATGCAGGAGGCAGCTGATCAATGAGTCTCTGTCATCATTGATGTTTCTCTCTCTCCTCCCTTCTTCTCTGACATCAATAAAAATATATATTTTTAAAATAAAATAAAAAAGAGATGATAGAGTAATGTGCTCGGAGGGAAAAGAACATATGCAAAGTGTACGGAAGTAATGTCACTGGATGATGTTGGTACATCTTCCGTTAACATCATATGCAAAGGCCAATTCTGCTCTCAGCTGCTATAATGAATGAGAGGGTTACAAGATGTCAGATGCCATTCTCCAAGATAGGAACCAGAGCAGACTTTTGCACTAAAAAATATGTGACTTTTTCTTCCTCCTAAACTCTCATTAAAAACCATTGTGTTTTGCTTTTGTATCTTTAAAGGGTGTCCTTTTCTGTTCTCTTTCTGGCTCAAACTATTATACAATACATGATCCCAGTGGATCTTTTTAAATCTGTCTTTATTACTGGTGTAATATACATCCATTCTATTCTCTGTCCTGTAGTTATAATTATTTGTTACCACTTTAAATTCCTTCTCTTTTAAAATTAAAATTCAAGTCAGTTTTGCCCTTACTTAAGAAATCTTGAAAAACATCCATTTCATTTTTTCCTCTCATTCACTCCCAATACATACATATTTCCTTTCTTTGAAATGTTTTTTTGGTCATTCTACATTGTCTTTTATGCCTTTCCTCGGTCTTAAAACTTTTGCTTATGATGCACCTGATGTCTTTCATTGCCTACTTTAAATCCTAAAACTTATCTTTTCCCCAGGGAATAGCTAAATGTAATGATTTTATTAACCATAAAAGTTTATATTTGTACAACAAATATTAAAACATTTGATTAACTACCAATACAATATCTAGATGATTTACTTTTTCTGTTTTTATCTAAATAGTTTATTGTGTTTTAAGCATGCCCTCCCATCTTTAGGTTGCAAAATGTTTTCTATAAGTGTTAATCAGTTTTTTGTGGATTTTTAATGCTTAATATTTTCATGATTTTATCAAGCTTGCTTGTATTTTATAGATAGTCAAATGCTACAGCAGTACTGCTTAATTTAATATAGGAGCCTCATGGTTGAAAGTATAGTGATACACTAACTGGAGCTCTTTCTGCTACTGCCATCTAGTGGTCCTCCCTAGATGTATTTTCCAGAAGTACAGTATTTTTTTTTTTTAATTGCTTGTAGGCAGAATCCAATAGATATCCAACTAGAAGTCATAAAAGTTTTATTTTATGTTGTATTGAAAACCTTGTTGAATACTACCTAAATAATAATATGAAAAATACTTTACCTTTTCTATGAAAATAAAATCTTCACAACTTACTAGTTGAAGACTTTTTTTTTTTTTTTTAATGTTCCAAATGCTGATGCCTAAGGAATGTGACGTCAGAAGTGCCAGGAACTCTTCTACATGCACATGCCTCCCCCGCCCCGCCACTGTGCTAGCCAGCATGGCTCATGAGGTGTGCCAGCACCTGTGCACAGCACAGCTGAGCCCCTGCACCTGGCCAGGGGTAGACACGACGCAGCATCCACACTTGCTCATCTCTGCCCCTGATGAGATCTGAAGCTGCTACTGGCATTTAATATTCTGAACTGTGTGCAATGGTTATGCAGTGGAGAAAGAAAATTACTAGAGCCAAAACCGGTTTGGCCAGGGGATAGAGCGTCAGCCTGCAGACTGAAAGGTCCCAGGTTCAATTCTGGTCAAAGGCATGTACCTTGGATGCGGACACATCTCAAGTAGGTGGTGTGCAGGAGGCAGCTGATTGATGATTCTCTCTCATCGATGTTTCTAACTCTCTATCCCTCTCTCTTCCTCTCTGTAAAAAAAAACAATAAAATATATATTTTTTTTAAACAAAAGAAAACTATTAGAACAGTGCCCAGCATCTCTGCCCATCTCTACACAGGCATCCCTGTGACTTTTGAGGCTGTAAGAAGAGAATCAAGTGAACAAATATTTCGATAAAGAACAGTATCAAGACCCCTGATAGCTAGTTCTTCCTGACTAATTAGCTTATGGATGTCTTAAAAGTGTTCTCACGTGTGGTAGATTTCGGACAACGATACGTCCCCTGCATTTAGCACAGTTCCTTTAGACAATAAGTACTCAAAATATTTGTTGAATAAATGAATTGAACAGGTAGGAAAAGTAAATGCTCCTCTGAATAATTAAGGTTTTGCTGAGGATGTTGATTTGGTCTGTGAAGCAGAGCTCAACATGTCCTTATGTTTTCTATGCATCCTGTGATTGTCCACATTTTATTAAATGATGAATGGAATTAATTTTGAAATCTGACATCTTTGCAGGTCTCTACCAAAACCCTTTTTGCCAATATAACCTGTATCGTTTATATACCATCTACCACCTTCCAGGAGTAGAGTTGCTTGACCGAAAACGTAAGGATGCCTTTTACTTGCAGATAAATATTTGAGTGGCAGTCATAATTCAGTGGTTTAAAAATGTTGAATATATTTGAAAACAAATTTCTGTGTGAATGAAAGTTTTAAGATTTTTATTGGAAGGTTTGCTCTATGAAACCTGCCCTACTTCAGGAATGTATGCCTCTTGACCACTGTCTTGGAAAGGTCACCTCATTGAGTGTGAGGACAGGTGTCTGAATTCTGTGTTAGACACTAGTGTGTTAAATGTCAAACCACTTACCCACTAGTATCTTAACTTCTTATTTCAAAAATGAGAGAACTGGATTAAATCTCTTAAGGTATATTTAAGTTCTAAAAACCATGTACTTTGAAATTCTGTAAACATATACACTGAGTGGCCAGATTATTATGATCTCTGAATGCATAATAATCTGGCCACTCAGTGTGTGTATAAAGGCCCAGTGCATGAATTAGTGCATGGCCAGCAGGAGGGGACATGGGCGGGTGGCCAGCCTGCCTGCTGGTTGAATTCCTGGTCGAGGAACAATTTGCATTATTAGCCTTTGTTATATAGGATATACCCTGATACTCTGCATTCAGAGATCATAATAATCTGGCCACTCAGTGTATATTAAATGCATATTATCAAAGATAAGTTCTTTATGAATATATCTTTAGACATTATAGATAAACCAGTATGTCTGATTCATATAAGCTACAAAAATGATCAGTGCATCAAGTTATTTATTCTTAGAGGCCTGCTTTATCAATCTGTCTACTTACCTTTCTGTCTCTAGGTTTGAACATTCTTTTTTTAAAATTTTTTTAATTTTATTTTTTATTAAATTATCATCCGTGTACATATTTTACCATTGCCCCCCCCATACATACCCACCCTCAGTTTGAACATTCTTAATAATTACTGAGCACCTTCTTAATGAGGATTTATCAAAACCTTATGTTTATGCCTTCTCTTCCCACAGCCCGGAGAAAAAGAGGGATGTATCAGAGTTGTGATGTCAGTCATCCACGGTGATGTGTTAGAAAGGGTCTGGGAGACATTAGGGTTGGTCATGCCTGTGACCTGAGGGGCATATATTGGGCACTTGTAAGTTTGTGGAGTTGACCATGATAGCCCTTTACAAATTAGTTTTGACAGGATGTTCACATTTAATAATTCAGATAAAAATACAGGGTGTCCCCCCCAAAAATGTATACTTTAACAGTTGTTAGCTCAATTTTGAAAATGAAATGTGTTTTAATAAACACTGCCTTTATAATTATTTAAAATGTGTGTATATGTTTTTTGGGGGACACCCTATCTTTTTTAAGGTGTTCAAATCTGTTTTGAATTACTCTGCATAACTATTTTTAATGCTATGCAATAACATTACTTTTTGCATTTATCAGAAGTTACAGAAAAAGAAAGAAGATCAATGATTACCATTTTTAACCATAAAAAGGCTCATATTGTTCAATCAATCGCATTCAGAGGAAAAGTAGATGCCTCATGGGATCCTAGATCACCTTTTAAGCAAAAAAAAGCCAGCAGGGTACCTAAAGGTATTTTGCAAAAGAAATGAAATTATAATTTCTCAAACTTTTGGATAATTTGATAATAATAATAACTGTAATTTATAATAAGTTAAGTACAAACACAGTGAAACAAATATTATTAATTTATTTAGTCAAATTAAAGGGATATGCAATTCTTATCTTCATTTACATATATTAAATTAAATGAGATGATATAATAATAATGAGATATTACACTGAATTCCTTACCCCAGTATCTAGCACAGTATAAAGGGATCAGTTAGTAAACTATGATTGTTATTATACCACTGTCACTAGACAGTTTCACCAATTAAGGCGATAAGTTTTTGATAATATAGAAAATATATTCAGGAGAAATAAAGATCATCCATGATTTCTCCATCCAGAAATAAACAGTTAATATTTTTGTTATTATATGCAAGTATAAGCTGATGTTTTATTAATTGGAATTAATTTCTTGTATGTAATAGAAATCCAACTACAGTGATTTACACAAATAGAGGTTTATGTTTCTCACATAGTAAAGAAGTACAAAGGCAGGGTTCCAGGTTAGTGTAAAGTCATTGACGTCATTAGTGTTCAAAAATGTAACTATCTTTCGTTCTACTATTCTTAGTGTGCTTTATGGTTATAAGGTGGCTGCTGCACCATATAAAGAGGGATTTAAAAAGATACAAAGACAAAAGCCTTTTTCTCATGACACTTTGCAAGCATACATTTGAAAATGAAAATACATTCTAGAACAGATTTTCTAAAAATAAAGGGAAAAATATTATATTAAATTGGAAAAGAGTTTGAAGAAAAAAACCCAGAATGCAGCTGAGAGAAAGATATAGAAAACTAGCTGTTGAGATAAGCAAATATTAGACAGGTAAGGTTTGATATAAGTTTAATAATCCTGAAGGGACCAAAAAAAAAAAAAAATAGAGAAATTGGGGAGATGATAATGTGTGAAGTAATAATGGCTGAGAATTTTCCAAATTTGGTAAATGATATAAATCCTTAGATTCATCAGACAAAACTATTCCAAAGGAATAAAAGACTAATAACAAAAATCCACATCAAAGGCAATATTATCATAAAATAGAGAGGAAATGTAAATTTACCTACCAATGAATGATTTGTAGATTCACAAGCTTCCCAACTGCAATTATGGAAGTCAGAAAATAGTGCTCTAATACCTTTAAAATGCTAAGGAAAAGTAATAGTCAGCCAAGAATTCTACAACCGGCTAAATTATTATTTAAGTCAGAGCAAGAAAAGAAGAAGAAAAATGAGGGCAAAATCGGAACTTTTCCCTTAACTATTGTGATATTTTTCTAATATAGAAAAAAAATGAAAGAATGTTAAACTGTATATGCCTATGTATATTCAATAGTAATATTCTGCCATATTCACCACCCTCCATTTATACTTTGCCTTATGTAAACTGGAAAAATAAAAGTATTATTGAATCATTTAAATTCTTCAGCCACAGACATTATGACATTTCACTCCTAGCTCGGCCTGTAAATTTTAAAATGGCATTGTCCTATTGAACCACAATGCCATTATCACACCTAAGAAAAGTAACATTTATATTATTGAATATGTAATCCATATTCAAATTTTCCTAGTTACAAGATGGCTTCCATAGCTGCTTTTTCGAACCAGAATTCAGTCAAAATTCATCATTGTAGTTGGCTCTTAGGGCTCTTTAATCTCTTTTAATTTAGAATAGATCCCAAAATTGTTTCCACGACTTTGCGAAGCGACTTTGCGAAGCGACCAGGCCAGTTATAACAATGTAGAATTTACATGATTGTTTCCCCCAAGTGTCATTTAACTTGTTGCTTCACCCCTATTTGTCCCATAGAATGGAAGGAATGACTGGAGGACATGTTCTGGATGCAGAATATAGTGCAGAGCTGTGGCTCTCCAGGTGTGGTCCCCAAACCACCAGCAGCGGCAGCAGCCGCACATAACAACGATTGGTTACAAATGTTAATGCTTGCCCCAAATGAGAGCCACTCCGTTAGAAATTACTCCAGGGTGGCGCCCAGGAAGCTGTGCTTTTTAGCCTTTCCCGGGGTCTGTGCATTCTCCAGTTAGTGACCAACCAGTGTAGAGGCAAGAGCACGAGCTTTGAGGCCAGGTTCCCCTGGGTTCGAGCACCATCACTGCTAGTCAGTCAAAGCTGCATCTTAGACATTCGTTTGCTTCAGCTCTCTGATCTGTGGGAGGCTTGCGTCAGCACTTGTGAAGGGAAGGATGCCATCCGCTCCTCTCTGAAGGCAGAGGCCTCGTGCTCCCTGCTGCTTATGGACTGGCAAGAGCTCGCACTGTGGGCTTTGGTGGCCTAACAGGTGCTGCCACATTCCATCTCTGGCCTGGCGCTAGGTCTTCTGAAGAGGAATAAACAACGCAGTGACAGTCTCTGTAAGATACCAGAAGGCCAAGCTTTGAGGACTAGCCTCTGAGCGCCAGAGCTAGGGAAGATGGAGAGTCTTGTGATCTAGGATTTGTTTATTCCATTTCTTTGAAGTTAATGCCAAGAATCCAAATGGTTTAAACTGCCCTAAACATTTCTCCTCAGTTGGTCTATTATTCCATTTGTAAATGCATGTGACTATCTAAAAAAAGAAGAAAAAAAAGGATCAGTTTCTGTATATAAGACTCAGTATCTCAATTATAAAAATTCCCACTTGGATTCTATTATTAATTAAATTGATTAAGCATTCTGTCCTCATGTTTTGAGATTTTTATTGCATTTAAAAATCTGCCTCAAAACCTAAGACAAGCCTAAGGCACTATATCTAAGAGAAAGTTTTGTTGTAGGGTTTGGTATCAAGGTATTTTTGATGGATTGGATTATTCATTGAAATGCTTGCTTGAAAACCAGAGAACTATGTTCTTGGCTTTTTCTTTACAGCATTGTTCAATTGTTTTAAAATGCTAAGTAAACATTTGAAAGATACTAATTTAGAAATTATTTTTTTAGGTTTTTCATTTGCGAATAATGTAAGCAAGTAAGTGATTTTAACTTTAACTTCATTATTGGATTATTTATTTCATAATTCTGTTACCCCCTAAAATACTCCCACTTCCCAAAATAGATTTTAATGTGTTGATAAAAATGACTATCTCTTCAATAGAAAAAAATGCTATCTTTCTGTGATGAATTCAAGCTATGTATTCACATTTGACATGCTTACAATTTAATATTATTTTTATAACCTAAAATAAATAAAAATGTGATTGGCTTTATAAAATAAACCTTAATAATTATTAGCTATTATGGATGAGAACCTTTATCTTTCTTGTTTACTGTTCCCCTAAATATTCCCAGTGACAGCAATTATTAGTATTTTACATTCACTGGAATTTACATTTTCAAAAGCAAATACTTCATTAAACAATAAAAAAATATTTCAAATTCATGAATATGGATGAATTTAAAAACCATTACTCTTTTAATTTTCAACTTCGGAATTATGTTTTGATTCAGTGTTGAAAAATATTATCCCCAAGCACATTTATAAAATATAGCATAATATAGGAAATGTTCCAATAAAATGTATACAAAATACTAATATACATACAAGATCTAGAAATATTTTAATCATTTCATTTAACACTGGTTTAAAACATGAATGTAGCCGAAACTGGTTTGGCTTAGTGAATAGAGTGTCGACCTGCAGACGGAAATGTCCCAGGTTCGATTCCGGGCAAGGCATGTACCTTGGTTGCAGGCGCATCCCCAGCTGATTGATGATTCTCTCTTATCGATGTTTCTAACTCTCTGTGCCTCTCTCTTCCTCTCTGTAAAAAAATCAATTAAATATATTATTAAAAAAAACATGAACGTATACATTTGTGAGACCTAAACTGTAATAGCTGATCCAAAATATGGTAAAAAAACAAACAAAACAAAACTCTATTATTAAAATAAACAATATACATAACAAAAATAGCATTACTTCTCCTGAAAGTCATTTGTCAGTGGCACCATAGAAATGTATTTGTTAGTGGCACCGTAGAAAATGTAGCATTGATATATTTAAATTAAAAATTCATTTTGATCTAATATTTTCTAACATAACTGCTATTTTTTCAGAATTGTGTTTGATGATCCAGAAGATGCTGTTTTTGTCAGGTCGCTGAAGAGATCAGTGATGACTTTTACCTCTCTGAACTGGAACACAGTTCCCAAAAGGGAGGAAAAATACCTTGAAGACAGAGGCACAAAACCTCCTCAAATGCTCACAATTACACTGAGATAACCCCTGGTATTTCTTGGAATCCTGGCGGTTTTCAGTTGTGTATTAAACTTCTCTGTGGTTTACAATGTTTATTATGACATTATTTGAAACATCCTATCTAATGAAGAGAGAATATGCTAATTGACTCTCACACTATCACAAAGATGGTGGCACCCACAGTCACAAGATGACAGTGCCTAGTCCCCTCAGCCATGCTCAGGCAGCAGGCGCATATCTGTTGGGAGCTAGCAGAGTTGAGGCAAGCAACTCAGTCTTAAGGAAATGGAATTGGGTTCCTTTTAGCAGAGGTTGTGTGGTGCCCTGAGGGCTTGGCCAGAAGATAAGATTAACCTGGGGTTTAGCATCTCCTGTCTTCCTGCCTCTTACCCTTCCTGATCCTCCCCCCTAGATAGCCCAGCCTTGGAATGTTGCACCTTGGAATGTCACACCGCCTCTGGCAATTAGTCAATCCTGTGTTGCCATACCAAAGACCCCCCTGCATAAGCGGCCCTGCCCCCCTTTGTCTCTGCTGTATAAATACAGCCATTTCAGAGAATAAAACTGAGGCTTGATCAGAACCTTGTCTTGCCTCCATTCTTTCCACGTTCCTTGTTTGATTCATTCTCTTAGGTGGTTCCTGCGTGCCCCCCCCCCACCCCCCTGTTGTTGTCCCGCGGGTCGGGACACATATCAAGGTCGGGCCTGCCCCCAGGCAGGCCTGGGTGCTCTGCGTGCCTGCCTCCGGAGTCCTCCAATCCCCTCAGCTCCCCCAGCCACCCAGGGCTGGCCCGAGGCACAGGCAAATCTCAGATGGCAGCTGCCCAGCCATCCAGGGCCACCTGAGGCTCAGGTAACCAGGGTTGGCCAAGGCTTGCGCTGCTGGCAGTGGCAGCAGCAGAGGTGTGATGGGGTGTTGCCTTCCCCTGATCGCTGGGTCACCTCCCACCCCCAAGGCTCCCAGACTGTGCATGAATGTTCGTGCACCAGGCCTCAAGTTTAAATATAAACATAAATGCTAATAATGAAAAATTCCCACATTTGATGTATGTTTTTGTTGAAGTAAAGTGTGTACCATATTTTCCAGCGAATAAGATGACTTTTGAAACGAAAAAAAAGTCAACCAAAAATCGGGGGTCGTCTTATACGCTGAGTATATCCTGAAAAATGTCTCGATATGCTGCTAAACGAATTTTTGAACTCGATTCCGCACCAATCACTGCAAGGCTGCTCGGACCACCTCTCTAACTCAGCCAATCCAAGCAGGCTTTTTATGCATGCAAATTATACATGTTCTGTACCCGAAGCTACACTGTGTTCTAGAAAAAAGCCTGCTCAGATTGGCCAGAGTCAGAGAGGTGGTCTATTATAACCTTTGAACCTTTGCTTGTGATTGGCTCACCGTGGTACATACAGTTGCAGCACAGGAACGTTCTATGTAGCCAAAGCTGCTGTATCAGGACACATACAGTGAGTTAAAAGGTACCGTAATAGAACATTCTGTGTGTAGCTGAAGCTACAGTACTGTATAACCCCAGCCTAAAAGATTAGTGGGTGTACAACAAATGGCTGGTAGAAAAGAACCCATCATGGCTCCAGCAAGAAGAAGGAAATTTGAAGCCAGTTTCAAATTGAAAGTTGTAAACTTTGCCAAGGAACACAATAACTGTGCTGCGGCAAGACAATATGGAGTAACAGAAAAGATGGTCCGAGTCTGGAAAGCAAATAAAGATGCATTAAAAAGTATGCCAAGGAGTAACTGTGCATTAAGAAGAGGCACCTCTTATTGGCCAGAACTCGAAAAGCATGTAGCAGACATCGTCAAATGAGCATGAGCATCGTCAAATGGTTATGTAGTGACACGAAACAAAATACGTATGTTTGCACTTCAGTGGGCCAAATCTAACCAGATAACAGCAAAGGACTTAAGGCCACTGTATCCTGGAATACTAGGTTCTTGGAAAGGCACAATCTGGAACTGAGGCAAAAGACCAAAATTTCACAAAAATTACCTGCAGATCTTGATGGCAAAGTAAGTCTTTTCCATTAATATGTAATACAACAGCGCAAGAAACATGGCTATGCATTAAGTCAGATTGGAAATATGGATGAAACTCCTATGAATTTCAATATGGTTGGAAATAAAACTGTTAATCCAAAAGGTGCAAAAACAGTGTTAATTAAAACAACAGGACATGAGAAGTCCAGTTTTACAGTGGTACTAGCATGTACAGCTGATGGTGCCAAACTAAGACCAATGATTATTTTTAAAAGCAAAACAATGCCGAAAATCAAGTTCCTTGTTGGAGTTTTCGTACATGTGAATGAAAAAGGATGGATGGATGAAGAATGGGTAAAGCTATGGCTTGATAATGTATGGAGTAGGCGACCAGGTGGACTTCGTCAAGAACGTAATCTACTGGTGTGGGATATGTTCAGGGCTCATTTAACTACCAGCACAAAGAACAGGCTGGCAAGAATAAACACAGATGCGGCAGTTATTCCTGGAGGATTGACATCATTGGTACAGCCACTGGATGTGTGCCTAAATAAGCCATTTAAAGATTGCATTAGAGAACAGTGGAATGAGTGGATGGTTAGCGGTGAAAAGTTATTCACAAAAGGAGGAAACATGAGTGCACCACAATTGGATGTTTTGTTTAACTTTGTCATAAAAGCCTGGAATGATATTACTTTCAAGAAGTGTGGCATATCAAATTCTTTGGACGGTATGGAGGATGACTTCTTGTGGCAAGATGAAGGGGAAGCCGAAGCTGAAGCCACACCATCTGATTCGGAATTTGATCCATATGATGACTGTCTTACAAATGTATCACAAGAGGTCATTGATGAACTTATGATGTCAGAAGAAGAACATGATGAGGATTTTGAAGAATTTTAAGCTCACAATGCTCCTCTGCCTAGAAAAACCTCTTATCATCCCAGTCAGTCACAAACAAGCGTTTTCTGCAAGTTCTTCAAGTAATTTTCTTTCCAGATGATGCCATCATTGTTAATGTTCTCTTTTGGATTTCTTGTTTCTCGGTCAAGTTCATGGCATTGCCATTTGTGAAGAGACCTTCCATTTATCATATCAATGTACGGTATATTATGGTATGTTTGAAAAATGTCATTCATTAAAAATTTAATTAAAAAAAGAACTGGTGTTGCCTCGGAAGTGGGGGGTAGTCTTATACAGCGAATATAGGCCTAAACCTATGTTTTAACTGTAAAATTAGGGTGGGTCATCTTATATGCCAGAAAATACGGTATATAGAAATGTATACAAATCATAAGAGCTCAACTCAGCAAATTTTCAAACAATGAACTTGTCCATGTAACTGGACCAAGAACTAGAACATTACTAGCACTCTAAAAGCCTCCTTGTTCTTGTCACCAGTACTATTTACTCATTACTACCCATACTTCAAAAGTAATCCCTGTCCTAATTTCTAAAGGGCACATGAATTGTGTCTGTTGTTGAAAGGCATATAAATGAGATCACAGGAGTGGCATTACTTTTTGTCTGGCTTCTTTTACTCAGCGTTGTAAAACCCACCCATGTTGTTGCTAATAGCAGTAACTCTATTGTTCTCATTACTACAGTATTACATGGTATGACTGTACCATGTTAATCCAGTCTGCTGTTTTGAAGGCATTGGTCATTTATATGAGGGCTAATAATCTGACCTTAGCCTAGCCACAAGAATGCTACCAGTGGAAGGAGAAACTAGAAAAGCTTTCAGCAGTTGCGTGGTACTGAGACACAAAACCGACGGTTAAGGTACCTCACACACATCACTGGTTGTCTCTAGCTAAGATCAAGAGCAATGATCAAAAGCTTATAAAAAGCAGGGTGACATGTCCCCCTTTGCTGGTGCTTAGAACCATCATCACATTCTGTTATATAGATTTAGAGGGTGTGGCAACATTTGGTTTACAGTTCATATGGAAAGCAATACAATACTTGATAAGTAGTAATACAAGATTAAACTGTTGTTGCATATTCTCAGCTGAAAACCTACTTGTGCCTCTCCCTGATTGCAGAAGTGGGCTGAAATCAACCTGGGCAGATGAACGCTCTGGCCGGAGCAGTGAGCCGTCAGTGAGAATCTGTAACCAGCTTTCACCTGTGAGCCCCTAAGAGCTTGTGCACAGCCAGAGTCTGCAATTCCCATGTGCTCCCTGGCAGAAGGTGACAGCTGAGAGAGAGAGAGAAAAGGAGTTTGGCATTGATGTGGGTGCGTGGCTGATACCAAGGCACACATGATGGTGAGGCTTCCAAATTAGGTCATAGAATCAAAATGTTCTCTTGTTCTCTCTCCTAAATCATGTAACTCTGCAGGAAGCCAGCAGCCATGTGTGACGACACCAAGGCAGTCCTCTGAGGAACTGCCCGAGGCCTCCTTTACTAAAGCCAGGGAGGATCCACGGCCTTCCACTGACAGCCACGTGAGCTGCAAGTCACCCTCGAGACCCAGTTAAAGCCTCAGATGACTGCAGCGCTGGCCGAAAGCTGCTCCGCACCCAAGCCAGAGCCACCCAGTTAAGTGGCTCCTGTCTTTCTGGCTGGCTGAAACTGTAGAAGATAATGCTTATTGAGGCTTCAAGTTAATAAGTTTTTGGGGTAACTGGCACAGTAACAAATAAGCCATACAGTAATAACCCTGTATTATCCATGGTGCTAGAAAGATTAGCTGGAGGTAAGGATGCCTTGTGAAGTGTCTGGCAAGCTCTCAAAGTCACAGTCCAATCTTCAAGGGTTCCTGAATATCAGCGGCAGAGAACTAGTCACTGTCGAGTTAGTTCTTGGCATCCTATTGCATCCCTTCTATTGTAGAACTGAGAGCCTGGCCATTCGCCATCAAGTAACAGTTTGGTCAAAGCTAGTCCTCAGGAGCTGAGTATATCAGACTCACCAAGCAGTAACGTTGGCCAGGTATAGCAACAATCCATTTCATGATGGAAAAGCATACTTAAACAGGATCAGTTTTACACTGGTCCGTGAGTTGCATAAGTATTAATTTTTTAATTAGATTTGTCATAAGTTTAAGGATGGGATATTGTAATTTCCAGATAAACCACTAAAAGAGTAATCAAAGAATGTGTAATTTGGTGTTTTTAAGTTTATAATCACTGAAAAGGATGAAAAAGGCATTTCAATTACAAAAATATGGCTAGGAAATTTTTACTTAATCTCTTTTTAAATATTTCATTTGAATGTGAAAAGACTTGCTTCTAAAATGCACTCAATACTGAACATTTTTATTCAATAATGAAGGGCTACTAAGTGTCTGAGAT